CAACCTGCGTTGGCATCTCAATGGTTGACCATGTTCCAATCGTGTGCAAATGCACAGTCGAGTTGTACAGGATTGTGCGCGTAATTCTGGAAGGGCGGGTTAGAAACGTGTAGCACCCGTTAAGGCTATGCGTGCTAAGCAACAGGTTGCAGCCAGGTTTGAGCCGTGCCACCATCCCGACAAAAGGTTCTTGCGTGATACAATTCTGGCCATACTACATATTGCAATGATTGACTTGCGTTATTTGTGTTTTTTGTGGTGAAGATTTTGACTTGATACAAGTTAACTTGATATGGACGCACATTTGAAAGGTTTATACTTCACCATTTGGCTCAATCCGTTCTGACAAATTTTCATGATTTCGTGATCTTATGATGCGTGCGCTTGTGGGACATGTATCCATGCGTCAGAGTTTGTACATGTCGAAGCTTTGGCTGTGTCCAGCTGATAGCAAAACTTTTGTCCACCCTGCCCGCTTTTTGGGGGTGAGGTTGGCATCGCGGAACCATTGCGCCTCCTACGCGTGTAGAAGGAGTGCCCATTCCCCGTGCAGAGCGTGTGCGTCCTCGTGACCTTACGCCGACCCCCCTGTGTGCCTTCCAGAAAGCACGTTGAAAAGAAGGCATAGTTTTTGTTGCATTCACGCTGTTGCGACGCCATGCCGGGTTTTTTTATCCCGAGCAATGCGATGCGTTTGGTAGTTTCAGACCTTCCTCACAATTGAAGCTGGTGTTTGCATGTCATGTTTTGTGAAAGATCGCAGTCCCCTTTCTATCTTGAAGCCAAGACATGACTGATCGAAATAATGTCGCAACCCGTGGAGCATGTCTCACAAACTTGTTGAAAGATCATGGTTTAGATTCATTTCTTGTGTTAGTGCTGTATAGTTGATATGGAAGCTTTGCAGCTGTTATATCCCTGGTTGTTCAATATGCGAATATCTGGAAATGGTTGAAGCCCTCACCACGGCATGGTGCTGTGCCTAGCTCATATGTTTTGGTTTGGCTGAGGTGACGTGCTGTAAAGCTTCGGGCTGCAAGGTGAATATCTGCTTGTTAAGGGCAAGGTGTGGTTTTGGTTTGTTGGGTCATTGTTTTCATAGTTGCAATATGCATCTCAACAAAATTGTGCACATTGTGATTCAAATTTATCCTGACCCTATACTTCTGGAATGCCACGAGGCGGTTGGAACACCAACAAATCATCGAGAAGGCTTGCAGTTCCATTTCAGTTTGTGGGTGCTCATGTGCGTGTGCTCGAAGGTGTCCGAATTGATTGGTCGGGCATGTGCAAAAGATGGTGCGACTTTGGAGGCGGCTTTCCCGGATTTGGTTTAAGTTGTGTGTGCCCTGCTTGTGAACAACACATCGGTTGTAGCAGGTAGCCGTTCGGGTGAATGGGGCTGCAGAGGCATCTTTGGGAATCTTTGTCAAGCGTGCGGTGTCAAAGTTTCAGCAAGGCTCCGATACTTTTTCCGCTGAACTGCTCGATAGCTTCATCGCACGTGGTCTCGCATGGTGATCTGGAGCCGCTCCCAATCGCGGTGCAGCAGCGCATTTCCATGACTTATGTGTGAACATATTTCATTTGCTCTGTCTATGTCGAGGTCAGCTCCAGACTGATTGCGGGGATGATCATTTCGCGCGGCTGGCACGTAGCGCCCGTTGCAATGGGTTACGAAAACAAAGCAAAATGGCAGGCTCCTTCTGCTTGGCTGCTTCCATCGTCTGGAAGCTTCCTTGGGGCTTCAGGCTTTGGTTTCGCGCTGGAAACCGCTGTTGTTCGAGAGCCCTAAACCCAGAGAGCTTGGTGCTCGGCAAGCCAGGGCTTGATACGTGACATCACACGAAAAGGTCTTGCGGCAGCGGCTGGTCTTCTCGTAGCCGTCGACACCAGGTGCATCGTGCATAGTGACATTGTCGCATGATTTCTTAAGATGGCCCTCCCTGGCCAGGTTGTTTTGCCGGGTGTCAACGCCCTGGACAACGCAGGCACACGATGTTCCAATCGGGTGCAAACGGGGGGGCTTAAATGCATGGTTTGAAGGTTTTTGAAGCTGGCCTGGGGCTCCATGGAGCTGCAGTGGCTGCGGCTGTGGCTGATGTCACCAGGCCAGCTACGCCAGCTACGCCGGTTTTTTTGCGCGTTTAGACTTTGGAGATGGCAGTGCTGTCCAAAAAACCTTGCGCGAGGGTGCTTCGCAGCTGCATCTTGACGTTCCTGTCCATGATTTCCATGGGCACAGCTAGCAAGATGGAATTTCCAACGATGCTCATACTAATACTCATACTAAGACTAGTAAAAAGTAGTAGGAATCATCGTAAGAATAGGCATAATAACAGAATCAAGAGGTGGAAGAAAACATAATAGTATTAGTAAAGAACATGCCAGGCCTGGTGCGTCAAAGGCATCGGCTTGTGGCAAAGTGCAACTCCCAGAACATGCTTGGCGGCTTTCGAGAGAACGTACCCCTCAATATTAGGTACAGTAATCTAATCTGTAGCCAGAAAGGGGCCCTAATTTTGGAAACAACCCATGTCAACCCTAGCTATGCCTCAAAGGGCCGACGCTAGGAGAATTACCATCGAAAAGTGCAATGTTGGGCCAGCCCCTCATCAGACCTGGACTTCGGCCAGCTTGACTCACGTGCGATCAGGTTGTGGAGCATGCAGCCGCTGCAGCAAGCCTTGCGGCTACGCTTCTCGGGCTTTGCGCAGAATCAACAGGCAAGCGCTGTTCCAAGTTACATCAAGCAAGCAACTTGAATTGTGACATGGGAGGCTACTTCGGATGAACAAGATTTATTTACCCACCAATTGTTGTCAACTGCACCCGAATCTTTGACCCCTTAACATCAAACAACTGGAAGCACTTGCAGCATTAGCTGAGCACAGGGAGTGATCAGCAACAAGTATCACAATTATTGAGCAGCAACTTGCATACCATTTTTGATTCCCCGGTGGATGATGAGAGTGCAGGGTTTGGAGTCTAAGCGTGCGCGGTTTGGATGCCTTAGTTTAGAGTTCAGGGTTGCTGTGCAGATGGCTAGGCCAGGCTCAGGCGCCTCTAGAGTGCAGCTGACAAAAGTCCGAGGAGTTTGAAAAGGAAGCCCAAATTCCCACATTTTGAACAATTTTTCCTATCCCATCTATCTATTAATCCCATTTATCCCCGGGTTCATGAGGTGCCTGTCATTTTCGCGAAATCCCGTGACCCTCAGCTTGCACACTCAACCCGTGAACGCTGCCCCTGAACCCTTCAAGCCCAAACCCTACATGCAAAACACCGGACCCTAAAACCATCATTGCTCAACAGGCTTGCTGTTGGGACTTCTTCCGGAGGCTTCATCAGTGCATCACTCTGCTGGTCAGCAGCTTCCACGTCCATCATTATGGATTTTTATTTTGCTCTACTCTCAGCTTAGCAACAAATCTGTTCTGGCCATCGTTCATGTTCTTGTTCCTGCTGTTGATGCTTGGAGGAATGAAAAGAATTGATAAGGCTCTGGAAAGCGACATGATGTTGAAACTTCAGACTTGGCCATACGCCTCCATACCCAAAGAGTCTTGCTTTTGATTCCAGAAGTGGACATTTTCTTGGAGCAAGTTTCTTCTGAAGTGCTCTGTTGAATGAAGCAACCCTCCCAGTCCAGCACTTGCTGAGGTGATCTTCAGCCTGGCAAGATGGTTCGGTTGCCGCAGGCCGCTGCTTCAGATAGGCAGGCAGCTTCCAGCTTCCATGTAAGCTATAGTCTAAACTCCTTAAAGGGGTTCTATAGGGGATTATATATGGGACTACTATAAGGGTTATTAAGGGGGATACTAGGAGTTTAGACTATAGCTCATGTGTGTGTGAGTTTGTTTCCAGGCGAGCCATTTTAGAGCCCTGTTTAGCTTTGGCAACGAGCTCAGGCATATACAAGCGTAACACTTGATTGCATCTTGCTGGTCCAGACACTGCTTCGTTCTGAAGGGTTACTGAGCATGCACTCTTTTCTGTGCCCGCTTTTTTTGGAAGAGGTTGAGAGTTGTTCCTTGTAAGCACAAACAGCCCGCTCACATGTCTTATTCAGGTCCTACTCGCACGCGTCGTGCCGGCATTTCTGAGCTGGGAGGCTGGATGCGGTCGTAGCTTCGATAAAGACAGGGGTTGACTGACGCCTTGCGAAGTTCTTGAGGCGATCTCCCTCCAGGTGCTGGCGCTGCTTTCTGCAGCTTGGCTGTTGAGGTACTTCTGAAGATTCCGAGAAGATGAGGGCAGGGCGTGGTGACAGCATGCTTAGCTGAATTGAAGGCTTCCGAGTCTTACTGCCGATGTGACGCAGGACTCGGACTTAGGGCGGCTTGATGGTAAGATGTGCAGATACCTGCAGATGCCAGATGATGCGAGCAGATGAGGCCAAGGAGATGACTCAGAGTTCCGGCGAGCTGGAGCTTGGTCTTCTCCGAGGTCTCGAAGCTCAGAGAGGATGGAATTGAGGTGGCTTTTTTTTTGAGGGTCCGCGCAGGTGGAGCAGTTGCTGGCAGCACAGAGAGGCCCTGCCGCCTCATGATTCACGGGGCCCTGTTCTCAGGTTGTCGCCCAGGGTGGATTTCGAGACGTGTGGCCGCTTCTGTTCTCTGTCTTTTTCATGGCATGGCCATGAGGCGTTCTATGACGTCACTGGCTTCCTGCAGGAGGGGACCGCGGCATGTGAAGTGGCCATCAACTTCTAGAGTGTTTTAGAGGACTCGGCAAGCCATGGTTTTGAAGCGCTTGGCTGAATGCGTCTGCAACGTCCCTTGCCATATTTGGTTCAAACCCAGAGCATTGTAGCACCAGGAAGCCCCTACTGCATTTGCACTCTTCCTGATCGCCTTTGTGCCGCCCAGCCGTCACAATCTTGCTGGAAGCATCTCAGCACCATGCCGTTTGCAATTGCGTGTGCTGCACCTCGGATGCAAAAGACATTCAAGATCTGCTGACATTCCTTGATGGTCAGAGCGCTCATCTACTGGCAGGTACTGCTTGCTGGCGAAGCTGCCGCACTCGCTGAGTCAAAACCTCCCATGACACTGCCCACGAGTGGACAGCTGGACCACTTCAGTGCGGCTCTCAGCCTTTGAAATGTTAATCCGAGCATGTGCACGGCGCAAGCAGCTGCCAAGGCTATTCCATGTACCTAGATGATAAGACCGAGGATTGCTGATTGCTGCGAGAAAGCCTCTCGAATCTCTGGTGTGTGATGTCGCTGCGAGGACTCACGCCGCCTGCATTTGCCACATCTGCCACATCTTCGCGGCCCCCCTGTGGGTGTGCTGCAGAAGGCCGCCAAGGCTCGCCTGAGCTTCTAAACAAATACCAAGAGATGCCAATTTGCAAGATTTGCATGCATTTGTTTATGGAAGGCTGCGCCTCTGGTGGCTGCGGCGCTCACGGAAATCCCTGCGGTCCGAGAGCAGTACCGCTCTTGGTGTCGGGATATAGTCCCCCTTACGTAGATAGAATATGGGGTATATGGGAATCGTATTATGATATACCCAAAGCCATATTCTATCTACTTAAGGGGGACTATTGTTTTTGAAAAGCTTAAAAGCTTGATTTGTTCCTTGGGTTTTTCAGAGGCTCTCGGAGCGGCTGGGCCGTGATGTGCGGCCGATCAGCGAGGTCGCCAACGAGGTCCTGGATTTCGCAGAGGCTGAGGCGTGCAGCTTAGCAAGGCTCAGCAAAGCCTGGTGGACAAGCAAGATCAAATCAGCATCAGGCAGAGGCAGTACTTTCCTTCGTGAGGCGCAACGCCTCGGCAGCAACATCGAGGAGACTGTGCGCCAGACTTTGCGAGCGGCCAAGAGGCCGAGGGTACCCCTGGCTGCTTCACGTGCTGCAGAAATGAACACTGCTTGACGAAAGATGTTGATGCTTTTGCTGGTTGGATTTTCTGCATCAATGCAACTACAAGAGGCCTGGGGGCAATTGTATTCATTGTGAGAATCGATAAAGGCCATGCACATTGTGTTGTTCGATGCCAACAGGAAGGCACGAGGTGCGGTGGAGGAGGCGCGAGTCGTGGTGCAGGAAATCAACGAGACTGTGCGCATGCCTCATTTGTTTTGTTGCCTTTGGCTGTCTGCCGCTCCTACGTCTGGTTCCATGCGCAGCAAAGGTCTGTGGCTGAGCACAAAGCAGAGGAGCTGATTCACCACAAGCCAAAGACAGCTCCACACCGCTCCCGTTCATGGCTGATGGGCACACTGGGATTTGCAGCCACAGTGCCGCAAATAGACACAAATTGCATGGTGGTAGGTAAGCGTACTTGGTACGATATGTATATATATATATATATGTATATGTGTATGCTGTATGCGTATATGTATAATATACCCCCTCTCGCCCCCATATCGAGGCTTTGCTTGGCATCGTCGCATCGCGACGCTGGTTTGCTCGGCGCCGGCCTGCCATGGCTGGCACGCGCCGTGCGCGCTGGAACTCGCCGGCGGCCTGGGCCTCAGGAGTTCCCACAGGTCCTCGCCAGGAATATTAATACATAATGGGTACATATATATATATATGTGTGTGTATATGTATATATCTACATATTTATAGATATATATATATATTATACACATAAATATATGCAACCCCCCCCCCTAAAG